GGAAACTTAATATTCTATTAAAAAATCTTTAAAACCCGTCTCCTATAAAAAACTTCTTGCCAGAGAATTAAAAAGGTTATAAGATTTCTTCTTCCCTATTTCTAGCTAATTAAAGCCAGAAGCGAGGTTCTATAAACCAGGATAAGTATTTCCGGGGCTTTCCGGGACTTGGCTTATAATTTGTCCAGGTTTAATAAGCTATTTTCTAACTTGCCTAGTATAAAGGCATTATTTATTTTGGCTTTATCTACTTCGGCTTCCTTATTATCTATCTAACTATTACCTAATAGGCTCTTAGTTCTAACCATATTAATATTAATAAATAATTATCTTGGTCTATCTATTATCTTCTTATTAATATTTATTATTACTCTCCTAAATATATTCTTCTCTTAATTATAAATCCGAAGATCTATTACTACTTATACTAGTTCTACTATTCCCGATTTATATATTCCGTTTAGTATATTCTTATCTAGGTCTAGTACTAGACTACTAGTAATTCGGAGGCTTATTAATAGTACAGATCCAAATATTTATTAGGTTATTTAGAAAGAATATATTAGTTTAAAAACTCCTTCTTTAGTAATATTATAATATATAATTTCTTAGTTTTATAGTCTTAGTTCTTGGACTATATACTAAGAATATAATCGGAATTATACTAACTATATTAAGACTTCTTTATTTATTTACTAGTATATGCTTATATTATATTTATTATAGTTTGCGAATATAGTAAATAAGTAGTTACTAAATACTTTACTACTTTCTAAGTAAATGTTTTTATCTCTATACTATTACTATTTTTAATATATGAATTCGGACTTTATATTTAATTATAAGAGAAATATCTTTAGATATACTATTTATTCTTTTCTTTATTCTAGAAAAGGCTTATAACCAAGCTCTTCCAGGGCTTTCCCGGTTTTTTCTATAATTTTCTACTTTACCTTATTATATATATTATAAATAAAGACTCTATATAGGATACCCGTATTAGTAGTAACTCTTCTCGGCTTTATTAGTCTTTCTACTAGGCCTATTATGGTATTCCAGTCGCTTGTAAAGATTTCTTATAGGAAGTTTTATTTATCTAGGTTTATATATTATTAGGCCAGATTAATAAGGTTATTATTTCCGTAGTATAAATATTTTATATCTTATTATATTAGTTATATAATATTCTTAAATATAAATTAATTATATATATTATTATATCTTTAGAATTATTATTATAAGTCTTTTCTATATTTAAAGGCTAGGTTAATATCTTATTATAGAATCTCGGTTATTAACTCTATTTATAGCTCTTATATTTTATCTTAGCTATTAATATCTATCTTATTATTAAATATATTATTCTAGTACTTAGCCCTAAAGAATTCCGAATTACTATCTAATACTTATTTCTTTTTCTTACCTTTATTTAACTTATGAGATTTATTTAGTAATAACTTATTAAGCTAGTATTAGATCTTCCTTGCCTCTTTTAATTCTCTCTAGCTTACTTATATTAGCTTCTTTATAATGTTAGTAATTCGGTATAGCTTCTAAAATATATATTATTATAGGTTAGCTTTCTTTATCTTCTTTCTTAATAATATTTTAGTTACTAGATAAGTAGTATTCTTTATTAGTATTACTAGTATAGATATTATTAGCTTTGGTTTAGTTCTCGGGCTTTTCTTTAACTTCGGGAGAATCTATAGAGCCTGGCCTTTTGCCTTTACTTTCTTTATTAGTATTAAGACTTCCCCGGTTTCTCCCGGGTTATTATTTAGGCTAGGCTCTAGTCTCTTTAGTAATATTAGTTCCTTTTCCTTCTTCTTACTCTTACTTTTATTATTATTTATCTCGTTCTTTATATCTTAGTATTTCGGATTATTCTTTTATAGCCATTTTCTAAATTATTTCTAATTAGTATAATATTTTTCTAGATACTAGCTATAGATTTATTAAATAGCCTCTGTATTTATTATTAGAGCTATTATATTCAGGCCTTTTTTTTCCCTGAATTTTTCTCTCTTTATAAGATATACTAGAAATCTGCGGTTATCTAGCTTATTAAAATCCGGACTTTATATAGTAATTCTTCTATTTACTTATTATAGGGCCTTAATACCTGCTTCCCTTATTACTTTATTTTCAAAATCTATATCCGGTTCTAGCTCTCTAAATATACTAGAAAAATAGACTATTATTATAAAGTTATTAGATTATATAAATAATTCGTTTTTTAAGATTACTTAATATAAGAATTACTATATTCTCTCTTATATATAAGGTAGCTTATTTCCTATTTAAGCTATTATTTCTTTCTAGGAGATTTCCCGGTTATTATTCTATTACTTTTATTATTCGGGTTTAGGAAATATTAAACTTATTAATAGTTCTTATTATAGTACTTTATAGTAAGTTATAGATTATAAAAATAAAGGTTTATATTATCTTTTCTTTTTTACTTGGCTTTAATCTATAATTAGTAAAAGTAAAGGTTTATATTATCTTCTCTTTATTACTTGACTTCTTATTTATATTTACTTACGAAATTTCGAGTTCTTAAAGTTTTAATTAATTCTTACTTTTAGTATTTTCGGGTCTTTTTTTAGGATAAATATTCTTATATTACTATAATTAGCTTTTAGTAAGAATAAATATTTTCGTCTTACTAAGACTTATTTATAGCTATAAGTATAAATATACTAATTCTTAATATTAGGCCTTAGCTTAAAAGAATATTTCTTATAAAATACTATTATTACTTTTTATATATACTTTAGATCTTTAGTTTTATACTAGCTATTATAATCTATTATCTAGCCCTTTTATTATACTAGGTAATATAGTTTCCTTTATTATATTTAATACTAGAAGTTTATAATAGCCTTAATTTCCTATTTCTTAACTTCTTTTCCTTAATTATTTAAAACAAGTTCTATTCCGGGTTCTTTTAAATTAGTATTCTTCTATAAATCCCAAGTAGATTCCCGGTATTTTATTAGGAGATTTATATAAAAGATATTATAGTATTTCTAATTTTCTAGTAATCTGAACTAGTATACTTAATAGCTAATTTTCTTATTTACCCTAAATAGTTTTACTTTCTTTAGTTCTAGCTTTTTATAGGATTAGTTTGAATTTATATTCTTTATATTAAGTATTACTAGTTTACTAACTTTAAACTTTATTCTCTTATATTTTATATTATAGTACTTTATTTATATATCTTATATATAGATTAATATCTCTTTTAGCTAATTATATATCTCTTATAGTTTTCTTATTAGGTTCTTTACTAATTCTAATTTATAGTTCTATAGTTTTACTAGCTAGAAAAGTTTTATTATTTTTTTATTTATTTTAAATAGAAATAGCTTTATTAGTAAAAATAGGCTATTTCCCTATATGAATTCTGCTAGGTCTAATAGGTCTATCTAGTTTTCCTAATTAAAGTCTATAAATATTCTTAAAAAATCCTCTAATACTATATTTATTCTTTTAGTTTAGCTATTTATTTATAAATAAAATACTATAAAGGTTTTTCTCTTTATTTCAAGAATTTTTATAAATATTTTCTAGAATACTAAGGTAAATAGCTTTACTTTATTTATTATAATATTATCTAATATCCTGTATTTCAAAAATATATAATAAAGAAATATATATATAAATTACTTTAAGTTTATCTTTTTTTAAACTAGAATAAAGTTTCCTTTCTTTATTAACTTATATATTATTACTAGGATTATATTATATATTACCTATTTTTCCTCTTTCTTATAAGAGAAGTTTACTAATCTCTTAAATAATAATAGGTCTATAATAAGATCTAGTATAATAGAGCTCTAGGGTCTTTCCGGAACTAGAAGTAATTCTAATTCACCTAGTATTAGTATTTTTAAGGGCTTATTCCTTTAATATACTAGGTATAAGCTAATAAAGTTATCTATATTAATATTTATACCTATCTAGAATAGTAGCCTCTTTATTACTAGGATTATCCTGTCTTTTCTAAAGTAGCCTATAATTAGGCTATTATAGAATTCCCTTAAAAGGCATTTTCTTAGTTTAGTATTCTCTAATACTTATAAATAAGTTCCCTTATAGATCTATAAGCTATTTTTAAGAGTAAAGTCCTCTTTTTTCGGGTCTATATATTTCTTCTATATATTTTAGATCTTAATTACTATATTATTAAATATTTATTTCTTCTTTTCGGTTTCTTCTAAGATTTCTTTTATAAGATTATATATTATATATATGTTTTTATAACTACTACTTTATACTTATATCTTTATAATTCTTCCTAGCTCCTATAGTATTTCTTCTCTCTCCTATTTCACTTATATATAGGCGTTTTAAACTATTATATATAGGAGGTCCGGGACCCTATCTAGCTTAATTAGGCTATTTATATCTTGCTTCCCTGAGCTTAGTAACGGCTTCTAAACTACTACTAGTTCTCTTATATAATTAGGCCTTCTTAATAGTATATTGGCCGGATTTTTTAATCCTACTCTATATATAATTTCGAAATTAATTATAAATAGAATTACTATCTAGTAGGCTTATTATCTTATAAGTATTCTCGTTATTATAAAATACCTCAAGTTATTATAATTCGAGATAATTATAATTTTCTCTTATATTTCTTTTAAGAAATACCTCTAGTATTTAATGCTTTCTACTATAGCTAGTAGTTCTTAATTAAAGATTAAGTAGTTAATCTCTACTAAAATAAATTTTCTCGAGTAAAATGCTATTAGATATAAGTAATAATTGTCCTATTTCTATAATATAATTCCTGCTAGTATAAAAATCGAAGTATTATATTTGAGCTATTATTTTAGTACTAGGTTGAAATATATAAGAATTAGGGTATTCTTAAATCTTTTCTTTAGGTTCTTAAAGGCTTCCGTTATTTCTTTTATTTATTTAAATTATTATTTCCCTTTAAGTAATACTATTATTTCTAATACTACTAAGCTATACTAGTAAATAAAACGTCTATAGAAATTACAGAAATCCAGGAATACTAGGGTTTTCCTAGCTATTTCCGGAACTAGCTAGTATTAGATTATCGTAACTCGGGTTTTATTTATTTTTATTTCTTTATATAAAATAATATATCCGAGAAATTTCACTTCTTTTATATTAAATTCATACTTCTCTAGCTTATAAAATAGGCTATACTTGTCTAGTTATTTCAGGATCTTATATATATATTTTATATAAAGTTACTTTTTCTTTAAGAAAATTAGAATATTATCCAGATATATAATTATAAAAATATTAATAAACTCCCTAAAATATTAATTAATATATACTTGAAATATTACAGGCCTATTACTTAGGTTAAACGGGAATACTAGATATTTAAATAAATTAAACCTTATTCTAAATACTATTATTTATTTATATTCTTCTTTAATTCTAATTAAATAGTATATATTCTATAGATTAAGCTTTATAAAAACTACTACTTAGCCAAGTTAGTTCAGGATTTCAGAGATTAGTAAAATTAGGTATCTATTAGAAATAGTACTACTATTTAGGCTATAATAGTCTATATATAGTCTATAGCTTCTATCTTTCTCCCTATAAATAAGAGAAATACTACTACTAGTAACTTAGATCTCTGAATTATTTCTAGTCTTAGTATTTTCTCTAGATATTTCTTTAGAATCCCTAGCTTCTCTTCTAATAGGTTATAGATTAGTTCTTATAGTAGCTTAAAGCCCGGCTTAAGAAATATCTTATAGTCAAGTTCTAGTTAGTAAAGTAAAAGCTCCTCTGTTTTGGTTTTATTAAAAACATATTTATATTTCTTATACTTTATAAGTAATTTCGTTTCTATTTAATATTTTCCCCGGAACTCTCTAGAAATATTCTTAATTAGGTTTAGAACCTCAAAGTATATTTATAGTTCTTTATTTACTAATAGTTTATCCTTAACCCCGACCTTATTATTCTCTTCTAATAAATAAAGTATATCTAGGGCTATTACTATTTAAGCTAATATTTCCGAGTTATACTTATTATTACTTCTTACTAGTTCTCTAGTATACTAGTTAATCTTCGGGTTATATTTCTTTAGCTATAGTAGCCCGAGTATAATATCTATTATTTTTAACTCTATTTCCCTAAATCTTATTAGTTTTAGTATATATATTTAGCTATAATTAATATTAATTTCGCAAGCTATAGTTAAAGAAGCTAGAGCTAAGACTCTGCCTTTTATATTCTTTATTACTAGGTAATATTAGCTCAAGTTACTATACTAGAGGATTTCTTGAAATTTGCTATTAATAAAATTTACTATAGCTACTAAATTAATAATTACTTTTACTTGTACCTCTTTACTACTTTGGCTTTTTACTTTTAGTTATACTATATAAAAGTCGGGATATGTTTCTATAAGATTAAGTAGGTTATCTTTCTATAAAATATCTCTTTATAATACGAGTACTTTAATATCTAGTAGTTATATATCCCTAGATAATTCCAGGTTTATAAGTTCCTAGTTACTTAATCTATTCGTTTCTCTTTCTTAGGTTATTATAAGTATACTATTCTTATTCTTTGTCCTATTATAATTATTTCCTAATAGTAATATAGTACTATTAATAGGAAGTATTACTATAGGAAATATATAATAAGGGCTAGAATTATTAGTAATCTAATACTAGTATAAGGCATATTTCGTTAGATTATTAGATAATAAGGGCTCTCTCTATATTTCCATTACCTTAGTTATTAGGGGGGCTTATCTTTTCCCCGGTATTTGTCTATAAAGTATCTATCTAGGCTATTAGTATTTAAAGTATAGCTTTTCTTTCTATATTTTCTTTCTCTAGTCTATAGAAATATCTGGAAACAAGGTCTCCTTATACTTACTATTCAAATTCGAGTTTCCTAAGGCTAGTCCTAAGGGATTCCGGGAAGCTTAAGGTATTATATTTAATCCAGACGCCAGTAGATCAAATTCTACTCTATAATCTCGGCGGGGTTATACTTGTCCCGGTAAAGGGCCTAGTATTACATTATTAACTAGGAAAAGTCTGGCTATTATATATAGGAACTTCTTTGTAGTAAAGGCTACTTATTTAAGTCTAGTATATATTTAGGGAATTATTCTATTTAAGCTAATAAATATTCTCTTAAGAATTAGCTTTATAAGCTTTAATTAGTAGTTTGACTATATGGCCCTCTTCTTATAGCCCTATAATATATCTTATATCTTGAGTTCAAAATAGTTTATAAAGTCTTAGACTAATTAGTTTTTAAATATCTTATATCTTTATATTCTTAGATCGGCTTTAATTATAGTATTTCTTAGTCTATATTCCTTAAATAACCATGTCTTGAATTAGACCTAGTTATTAAATTTCGCTATGTCTTGAGATAATCTATTAAGTCTAGCTATTATTACTCTTAATTTAATTAATTATATAAGGTAATCTCGTACTATAAGAGCTTGGATTACCGGATTAGTAACGTGCTTAGCTACTAAGTAATTCTCTACTTCTATAATCTATAGGCAAATATTATTCTTAGGTAAGATAAAGATAAACGGTGCCTTGGCCCGGGGATAATCCCGGGTTATAATAGGGTAATAGCTATAATTAGTAGCTAGTATTCTGGGGTCAGGTCTAATTACGGTATTAAAGAATATTAGGGGGCCTCGGATACTTAATAGTAATTATCTAATTATCTGGCTTCTAGGATATTAGGTTTAGGCTAGCAGGCCTCCGCTTATAAAAGGAAATATACTATTAGGATATCCGCCTTTTATCTATCTCTATTCTATTACTAGAATTCTTCTTTCTAACTCCCGATTTATTTCCCGAGTTATTATAAGTTCCTTTTCCTTTTCTATAATTAATCTCTATAATATTATTAATTACGGGAAGGAGCGAGAGAAGTAAGAAATATAGTAAACCTTAATACTTGGTCTGGGAGATCCAGAGGGGATATTTGCCATATTATCTCGGACTTGATTCATACTATCTATATTGCTCATTATTCCGGGTTATACTATTTGACTTTCTAGTATATTTTCTTCGAATTCTTTTGCTACTTTTTTAATCCGCTATAGACTTTCTAGCTTGCGGGTCCTCTGAGGATTTGCCTCCTGACCCTTTAACTACTAATGTTATAGAGCTAGTATAATTGCTCCGAAGTTCATGTAACTCTTCTTTGACTACTCGATTTCTCCGGGAAGCATTCCGGGGGAATGGGATAAATCTGGTAATTTCCTGTAATACGTTACTATCTATTATACTTGGCGAATTAAGTAATTATATACAGGTACTAAATTACCGTACTGACTCCAAAAGGGAAGTTTCAGAGTATAATAGTAGTTACTAAAAGGGCAGCGAGTCAGGGAGCAATCCAAAGTAGTATTATAACTAAAACTTGAGAAGGCAAGTAAGTTATGGGAGGTGCGAAGCCTTATGGGCTTGCATACGGACCATATATACGCACGTGCTTGCTAGAATGCTTGGGCACTCTATAATAAAACTTATAAGCTATTTAATATTATCTAAAATTAATAAAAAATAAAATAAGAATATATTTTATTTTAAAAATACCTTGAATTTATAAGCCGGAATTAATTTAATAATAATATAAAAAGAAATAGAACTAGTATAAGCTATATTTATAATAATTAGAAGCTTGAGAAAAGAGCTTTAAAAGAATATTAAAGAAAAGTAGTTTAATTAGAGATTCTAAAGTTAATAGAAAAAAGAGCTTTATATAAAACTTTCTGAAATTTAGTAATTTAGAGAAATAATATATATTAAATCTATTATAATATAGTAAGTCATATTTTATTAAAATTGCTTTATTTTAATAATTTTAATATTTTAGTTATATAATAAAGGCTAGAGCCTTTTATATATAACTTATAGGAATTATATAAGAAAACTAGTTTTTTTTATAATTCTAAATAATACTTCCTTTTCTATATTTAATTAATTAAGCTTTTATATATTATATATTATTTATATTTTACTATTTATACTTTTAATTCTATTATTTTACTATTAAGTTATGTTTTATACTTTAATATACTTTATATAAATTTTTATTTTATTATAGTTTTTCTTTTATATATTTTATAATAAATAATATAAAGAAATTAAAACTTTATAATTAAAGTAATATTTTTATAAAGTTCTAAAGAATTTCTATAAGGCGAATTATTAGCTTAATAAATTTAAAGAAAAAAGAGTTATTATAATATTTTAAGTCTAAAGCTAAAATATTAAGAATATATAAATATTAATATTAATATTTTATATTAATTTCTAATATATTTAATATTTTAAATATAAGTTAGTTATAAGATATAGTTATTAGTATAATATATAAAAGTAATAAGAATAGAAACTAATTATTAAAAGATAATATATATAACTAATCTTTTTTCGGATTTTTTATTCTTTTTATTCTTATTTAAGAACTTTATTTACTTTTAGAACTTATTTAATATATCTAATTTATATTAAATACAGTTATATAATATATTATATATATATAACTATATATAAGGCTAACTAGCCTATATAGATATATATATAAGGTGGGCTTTACCTATTTTCTATTTTATAAGAAATTAATTAAAATCTAACTTACTTATATATATATATTCATTTAATAAGTTCTAAGCCCGGCGACTTCTATAAAACTAAGTTACCTAATTCAATTATTATTTTATAAACGGATAATTCTAATCTAAAGATATTTAGCTTTATAAGCCTCTATATTAAATTAAATTAAGGATATAAATCCTTTAATTACTATTAAAATTACTGAGATATTAGATTCCTTTCTTATTTCAGGAAATAATAAATATAATTCTCTAGATATATTCGGATTTATTTAGTAATCTATATTTTATATAAAAAGAATTAATACGAGCTTTCTCTTATTTCCGAAGCTAATAGATTAATTATTCTTATAAGCTATTTTATTTCCTAACCTCCCGATATTAGAGTTTTCTATTAGTTTAAGAGCTATATAAATACTAAGATACTAGTAGACCTAATAATATAGTTCTAGTAAACCTTAATTAATAAGAATTCTAATATTTCAATTTCTAAACTTATTTATTTCTTTTATTAACTAATTTCTCTATCTCACTTAACTAATAATAGAATAAATAGTTAAAAAGCTAATAGCCCAAGAGTTATAA